ATCCCCTATTTATATTTTCCTTTTATTTAACTATTTTACAAATAAACCTGTTCAGAAATGTTATTATACACCTCTGGAGCAGGTAGGACTTGAATCCGAGCCTCCCGGTCCAGGGACAGGGACTCTACCACTGTTCCACAAGAAGGCCATCCACTGTTTGTATTGGTTAGCCAGGTCTCCCTCATTCACCCAGGTTAACAACCTCAATCAAGGATCTCATAGCCAATAAAATCCACCTGGTTCCAGTCATTACATCACCTTACTTCTGAAATGAAAATAGATAACAGCACCTTTCCGAGGGCAACTATGGTGGAGAATAAAGTATAAAATCAAGCGCACAATTGGAAAGTGACTACAGGACCAGATGGACCAAAATTTGAAATGTGGATAACTCATTGAAGATAATAAGGCATGTTGAGAGAGCAGTTGATAAAGCATAAATGATATCCTAGACTTTATTAGCAGGAGCTGGAGTACAGGAACAAAGAGATTAGTTTAAACTTGTACAGGACACTGGGATTTGGCCTCAACCAGAGGATTGAGCCTAGTTCTAGGTGCCACACTTTAGAATGGATATGAAGGCATTGGAGAAGGCATGGAAACGTTTCACAAAAATGGTTCCAGGGATAAGGATTTTAAGTTATGAAGACAGGTAGGAAATGTTAGGTTGTTTCCTTGGAGATGAAAAGGCCCAGAGGAGATTTGGTAGAGGCAGATCTGGACAGAGTAGATAAGGAGAAACCATTTCCATGCATGAAAGGATCAAGAACAAGAGCAGGCAGATTTAAAGAAATTGGTAAAAGAAGCAAAAATTACATGAAGATAAACTATGTCACTCAGCCAACAGTTAGCGTCTGGAATGCACTGCCAGAGAGTGTGATGGTGGCAGTCTCAATTGAAACATTAAAAGAGGAAATTTGAATTTTATTTAAAAAAGGAATAATGTGCAAGGTCACAAGAAGGAGGTGGGTGAATGGTACTCAGTGGATAGCTCTTATGGAGAGCAGCTGTAGACACAATTTGCCAAAGGCCTCTTTCTGCATTGTGTTTTTGAACTGCTCAGTTTTGTTTCTTTCTTCTATGGGTATCACTGGATAGGCCAGTATTTATTGCCATCCCTAATTGCCCTTGAATTCATTGGCTTGTCTGGCCGTTTTGATGAGCAGCGAAGAATCAACCACATCGTAGTGGGTCCGGAGTTACTTTCCCTCAAGAGTTTTTATGATAATTGTTTCATAGTGCCAATAGTTTCATTATTACTGAAACTAGGTATTTTAAAAAACTGGATAATTAATTTTTTAAAATTCCTCCAGCTACCATGGTCCCCAGAGCGTTAGCCTGTTCCTCTGGATTGCTAGTCCCGTGTCATTACCACTACTCTACTATCTTTTCACCAAGAAAGATTTAAAAAATTGTTAAGGCCATATTGATATCCTAATAGCCTACCACTTGAAAAAAGCAGGTACTTGGACAAGTGACAGGATCTTTCCAAAATGCTGCATTGCCAGTGTTGGCTGGACAATAAGAAGACTGACCCCATTTTGAGGTCTTAATGTTTTGTTATCACTAGACGAAAGCAGTCAACATTGACCTCAATTTGTTTTTCTAACGTAAGGGAAACTTAATGGGGTGGTTAAATATGTTTCCTTCTGTAGGGCTACAACAGTTAATAACTACTCCCAGTAAAGGCTTTTCAATATAATGGCATTTCCTGAAACTTCACACGACACTGTGTTATACATGTAAGTTTATTGCCTGTGCAAGGTCCACAGAAATGGATAGTTTGTTTAAATAAATTATAGTGTGTGATAAAATTTAGTAATTTGTACTATTAGAAAGTATTTATGGAGCAAGCATTCCTAATTCATTGTTCAACAACAAGTAAACTATTGACTAAAATTTTCTCAAACATTAATGGTTGTACAGTATGTAGTAAGTGATTTACTGTGATCATTACTGTTCTTATAATGCTTGCACTCAATGCCACACAGGATGTGTTTCCCATTTTTCACTCATTTCTTTGAAATAATTTTGAAAAACATGTTAGCCTAAGGACATAAGTACATTCAAACAAGGCTGGTTGCATGTTGTGCTTCTTTCCACTTCTGAGTTGATGCAGTAGGAATGGCTGAGGCAAATTTAATTCACTCTTGCAGTGTCTTGTTTGCTTCGTAGATATTAAACTGAAGTCTATTCTTTTCTTAATTGCAGATTGCTTTTTAAACTAGTGCATTTCAATGAATTATGTAACAGTAAAGTTTTGTGCTTCAATCAATCACATTTCTAAGTTGATGGTTTCCTCAGTTAATGACCCAAATATTAATTACATCAGTAAGGTCTAATCCAGACCCCTTGATGATCTAATTTTTGGTTCCTGTGTAAGCAGCAAGTTGTACTTAAAGCCAAGATAATGTAGATTACTTTGTCGAATTTTCATTTCTATCTTTTAACTATACAAGGCTTACTTTAAACCATTGCTATTTTTGAACATGAAAATGAAACAGCTGAATGAAGGTGAATTTTGCAGTCAAGATTGTAAAAGGTTGTAATTTCAATCATGAACACTGCTCCAATTTAAGGAGTAAGGTAGTCATTTACATTCTGATGAAATTTGACAGATGACCCATTTAGAAACCATTCTGATGCATGATTCTGTGATACTGTTATACAACGAGGCACTTTAAACTCAGTTTAAAACTTCACCCATTGAAGGTGGCAGAGGGGTTTGAGTGGATCACGAGGGGAGGCATAAATTGATGATGGTGCAAACTAGCTGATGGAGTGAGTTAGAAATGCCCAAGGGGATAGAAATGTCCAGGGGATAGAAAGTCTCCCCTTCCTGTCAGGTTTAAATGACCCGAATTGGTTTTTGGCTGGTAACGCCAAAGTTGTTATACATGGTATGGATCAACAGTATAAAATAACCATCAATTTGGCACAAATCCATTTTGAGGCAAAGGCATTTTGCCATTTTTAATTATTTTTTGCTTATCTGTTAGATTTTGTGTAATTAAACTCCTAATTCTTTTGCTGTTCTACAGCATGAAATTTTCTTCCATTTCGAAAATACTTCATTTGATCACTCATGGGTTTGCAGAATATCACTTTGCACCTGCTCATTTTGAACTCTTATCTGCTCTGATTTTGTCTCACTGCATCAACTGGCGGTGTCTCTTTGCAAACTTGCTTCTGCTGTCTACAATACTTACTGTCCATCCGAACTTGGTGTCATATGCAAACACTCTGCAGCTTGATTTAAGTCATCAGCACAGAACCTTCAACAAGACCATGCATTCCCTGTCTGATCATCCCAACATTGTTTAAATGCTGAGACGTTCTACTGGATTGGAAATTCCAGTAGATACCCCATAACTGACAGGCCTGAGTTTCCTGGTTTCTCTCCTCCCACTTTTCCAATAATGCAGTGATAGAAGCAAAATTCCAATATCTGAAAGCAAGAGAGTTTTGAAAGATAATGACTGGCACTTCTCGTTGTTTTAATATCCTGAGGCCAAAATTAGTAGTCCTGGAGATAGATCTTTCTTAAGTCCTGTTATTTTCTCCATTGTAGTTTTTTAAAAACTTTATTCAAATCAAAAAAGTATTTAACCTTTTATTTTGTTTTGATCCCTATTATTTTGTCTTCAGTGAAAATAGATGAATCACACTCATTTAATATATCTATCATTACTTTGCTATCTGTTATACTATCAGCTGCATCTATCTTTCAGCAAACATCACTTACTCTTAATATCTTTATTACAACTTTTACTTACATGTTGCCATTCATTATCCTTTTCAGCAGCTCTTAGTGCCTGAAATCTTCTGATGAAAGTTATTTCCAGGTGTGGGGACCATTTTGTGCACTCTGGCACAATCTTTTGGAAAGTGACCTACTAATTTACGTCCCTTACATCTGTCAGCCTCCCTGCGCTCCCACTGGGAGAATTCAGGCAGTTAAAGTACTATATGAAAATCCTCAAAATGGAAGTGCCTTGGGAATCGGGAATAAAGTGACAGAAATCGAGAGGCCCTAGGCCAGTAGAAACTTTAGACCTGAAGGAAGACCCTCTAGAGGATCGACATTGATTGCGTTTAAGGCCTTTCATCTCTCATTGCAATGATTAGGCCAGTGAAAATCCTACCTCCATGTTTCTTTCTAGTTCGATGATGAAATACAGCTGGATGTGCAAAACTTAAATTTGGCTTTGATTAGCAAAATCCTTCAAAAATGTAACCACTTGAAATTTCATCTGATTTAAATATGAATCTTAAAGTTTAATAGTATTCAAAATTCCAGTCCTTCAACTATAAATATATGGCTGCAAGCCACACCAATTAGTGATTGTTAATAACTTGTTCTGAAGGAGAGTCATATCAGACTTGAAACATTGAGTTTCTCTTCCCAGATGCTGATGACCTGCTGAGTTTCTTTAGCATTTTTTGTTTTTATTTCAGATTTCCAGCACCTGTAGTGTTTAGCTTGAGTGGTCATTTGTCCTTGAAAGAGAGCACAATAAAGTTAGCACAGAATCTTGAATAATTTCACCAGTCTGATGAGTGTGTGTGTGTGTGTGTGTTGTGCAGTATATTTTAGGCGTTACAGTTCTTCTGCCATGTATATCTTTTTGCATGAAAGTCCTTTCTATAATGGCATGAAATTGGCATAAACAAACATAGTCAGAGAATTTGTACATTTCAAGAATAGTGGTCAGAAAGAATAGTGTTTGAGGGAGTGAGTTTGTGAAAAAACATTTTTAAATTTGTAAGATGATGCTGGCAGTAATTTAGCCGGTGCTATTTATTTTGAAGTGGTTTGCACTGGAATCTTTTTAAATAGCAACAGATTTGTTCCAGTTGTAATTTGGCAGTTGTATTTTGAGAATGTAGTATTATTGTTGAATTGAAAAACAAATTAAGCACTTATCATTACAATCATCTTGAATGACTGAAGATCTTATTCTTCGTCACTGATAGATCTTCTACTGAAATCAGCTTTGTCAGTGCAGCATTCCTTTCAACAAACCTGCAAATAAATTAGCAATACAATTAGAGCTGAAAAAAAACCTAGTTTTACTGTTACCCAAAACGTCTACTGATATTAAGAAAGGAAGATTGATTATTTGAAGACATAATGAAGCAGAAAACAGTGGGTATTGTGTATAAGCATGTGTAAAATGCTTTATGAAGTTTGAGTGATTCAACCAAAATGAATTGTGGTTTCAGTATGTTATCTAATATTAAATTTAACATTGAATAATTTGCACTGTATCTTTGATATGGATGTTTTTCACTTAACTGTACAATGAGAGATTGGGGATGAAATTATGTTATTTGCTCTGGGATTTGAATGTTGAAGGCAAGGCCAGTATTTATTACCCATTAGAAGGTTTCTTTTTCCTCTGTAGGAGTTTGATACAACTGTCTGCCTTGCTGGACTATTTCAGAGGGCAATTAAAAGTCAAGCACATTGCTGTCAGTCTGGAGTCGTATACTCATTCCACACATTTGCAAGGCAATGAATATCTCCAACAAGAGAGAATCTAACTATCACTGCTTGAGATTCAGTGGCATTCTCATCCTTGAAACTTCCACTATCAATATGCAGCGGGGTTACAATAAACTGTTCTGGACTGAGTCAGAAGTCACACAACACCGGGTTATAGTCTAAAAGGTTTATTTGAAATCACAAGCGTTCAAAGCACTGCTCCTTTGTCAGGTGAAGTGACTGGACTGGCAATATAAATGTTGCGGCTACGACAGCAAGTCAGAGACTAGGAATTCTGCATGGGCAACTTGCCTCCTGTCTCCCCAAAGACTCCATCATCTACAAGGCACAAGTCAGAGGTATGGTGGAATAACCACCAATTGCCTGGATGAGTGCAGCTCCAGCAAAGCTCAAGAAGCTCGACATATTCCAGGACAAAGCAGCCTGCTTGACTGCTACTTCAAAATTCATTCCCTTTACTACCAACTAACAGTGACATAACTATGTACCATCCACTAGATGCAATGCATTGACTCATCATGCCTCCTTCATGGCTAGCTCTACCATCTAGAAGATCAACAGCAGCTGTCTCATGGGAGCACCACTGCCTGCAAGTTCCACTCTAAGCGACACACGATACTGACTTGGAAATATTTTGCCGTTCCTTCACTATCACTAGATCAAAATCTTGCGGCTCCTTTCCGAATAGCACAGTGTCTGTCCCTACACCATAACAACTGCAGGTCTTTAAGAAGGCAGTTGTAGGGGTGAGTAATAAATGCTGGCCTCATGACCAATGTCCACAACCCATGAACGAATAATAGGAGAAAGGCCTGACTGCATAAGGATGGCAAATTTCCTTCACCGGTTACCATACACGTTGGGATTCCTACAGCCTACTGGTACTTAGCAAATTGATCATTGTTTAAGCCTGATGCCGAGTTGAGTGACAATAGAGCTATCCTTCAAGATCATTTCATGCTGTGTATCATGCAAACTTTCAGATCTGCCAAATGCCCAGTTAATATCAAATTATTTCAAAAGGCAAGATATCTCAAACATATAAGCAACATGTGAAGCTAGCCACTTCACAATGTTGTGATGCCATTGTAACACAAGTAGTATATTCTCCATTTAAGGTTTTGGCAAAGATTTGTATCTCGCGTTGTACTACTGTAGTAACCCAAGCCAAACATAGACACGCATGGGAATTCCTAGAGGCATGGTTCTCGACCCATAATGCAATCAACAAACATATAGAATTGGACGCCATATACAAACCCATACAGAACAAAACCGGAAATGACACTACTTACCATAATGGACTGGACAATATAAATTCCAAGCAGAGGAGAACAACATTGCTTCATTGAAGGCCTCACTGATGATGTCACCTAGCATGGTGATGAAACGTCTGAATGAAAACAAGCCAGCTCGGCGAGCAAGTCAACAACCTCAGCATTCTCCATTTACTGGATGCTGCCGTCGAACCAAAAAGACATTCTGCCTCCCATGGATGAATAATGTGGTATATGAATTTCAGTACTAGGGTGATACTGGGTATTTAGGCCATACATCCAAGCAACTGGCATATCTTATTAAACAGCATGTCCATTCAGCAGTCCTCAATAGGCAGGGTATTCACTGTTTTCAACCAAATTGTGCTTGCAGAGCTTAGAATGTAATATCTAATGTTAGATTTGATTCTACAATTGGACTGACCCTACTAAACAATCCTGAATGTGTTAAGAATTATACCAACCAATTAAGGTTATGTAATGGGAGATAGTAGGAACTGCAGACGCTGGAGAATCCGAGACAACAAGGTGCAGGGCTGGATGAACACAGCAGGCCAAGCAGCACCATAGGAGCAGAGAGGCTC